TTTACATACATGCATGGCACAAAGTTCTTACATATTAATTTATCGTTGACAATTTTAAACATGTCAAAATTACATATTATATACTTAATATTTGTTTTTACTAGTGCTAAGCTTTATATCTTATAAGAATTTCCTCAATTGTTTTAACTTTTCAATATCATTTACAAAAATCTCACAAATTAAAAAAGTTAATATTCTTGCTCTTAATATGCACTCACATGAGGATAAATATTAGATAAGAAAATCTTCATCCTACAGAATAATGGATCACCAATTTGGATGCATGCCGGGTAGGTCAACTATTGAAGCCATACATTTATTAAGAGGTTTCATTGAGACAATACCGGAAAATCACCTATTATCGGCGAATTTTTCCGACAGAAAATCATCATTTTCCGGTTGATTTAATGGTTTTCCGGCTGATTTCAGGTGAAACTGTTTTCGCCGGTAAAACGAGCATTGGAAAAAAAATTTGGCGAAAAACAATCGCTAGGAAATTTTTCTGGCAGAATTTGGCCGCCGAAAAATTGTCCAGTGGAAAAATTCTGCCTAAATAAAAAAAAAACTAAAAATGAAGGCCCGAACCCCCCTCTTGTCACTCGCTCCCGCCAACCCGATTCCGAACAGACTACCATCAGCCCAAACTCGCGCCTCCAGCAGCCAGCGAGCCTGCCAGCTCGAACCCGGGGCTCCCAGCCCTCTTGAGCCGCCAGTCAGCCTGAACCCGCACCCGCCAGCATGCTTGCAGGCCCGAACCCTCCCGTGACCGCCAACGCGTCCCCGCCGGGATTCGAACCCCAACCTATTGTAATAACTTCATGGAGCCTTCCACTTTGCTAAATACATAAATAAGTTATATATTTTATATTTAAATATTATTAGCAGTATTAAAATTATATATATATATATATATATATCAAAGTTAATAAAGCAGACATTAAAATAATAATTAACTAAATTAAATTATTAAAGCAATATATAATTAATTAATAATTTAACAACTTATTTTAATTAATTAATTAAGATAAGTTATTAAATTAATAATTAATTAAAATAAGCTATTAAGTTAATAATTAATTAAAATAAATTATTAAATTAATAATTAATTAAAATGAGCTATAAAATTATTAATTATTTAAATCACGAAAATGTATTTTTTCAGAAATTAAAATGCACCGCAAATCCGTCTGAAAGTCCGCCGGTAACAAATCCGTCGGAAATTCTCCAAAAAGTCCATCGAAAAATCTGCAAAAAAATGTCAGAAATATTTCATTGTAATCCGTCGAAAATCAGCCTGAAAATCCTTTGGAAATCAGTCCGTCGGAAAGCCCCGGAAATTCCGCCAGTAATAGACTATTTTTCTGTATTGAAAAATATAGAGAGAAAAAGGAAGATCTACATATGATATTTATTTATTTAGAGAAAGCATATGATAAAGTTCTAAGATAAGTGCTTTGGAGAGTTTTTGAAAAGAAATGAGTTAATAACACTTATATTCAAATCATTAAAGGTATGTATGCAGGAGCTATTACTTGTGTTCAAACACAGTGGTTTGACCAAGTATTTTTCTATTTATGTTGGATTACATCATGGATCAGCCTTAAGCCCATATCTTTTTGCTTTAATCATGGATGTTCTCACTAGACATTTGAGAGATTGAGTATGTACCTTGGTGTATGCTTGTTGCTGATGATATACTTCTTATTGATAAGACTAGAGAGAGTTGAAGGTAAACTTGAATTATATATAGAGGTCAACCTTAGAGTCTAAATATTTTTGCTTAAGTAGATCTAAAACTGAACATATGGAGTGTAATTTTAGTAGCAACAGACCTAGTGAGGGAATTAACTTTGGGAGATCATGTCATTACTAAGAGTACATATTTTAGATATCTTGGATCTATTATTCAGAGTGATGGTGAAATAGATGGGGATATTAAGAATTCATGTTGGATGTTGAAGTGGAGGAAAGCATTGGGCTTGTTGTGTGATAGAAAAGTACTCAAACTTAGGGGAAAATTCTATAAGATGGTGGTGAGACCTGCAATGCTTTATGGTGTCAAATGTTGGCCAATAAAAGAGAAGCATAATACTAAGTTACGTGTTGCAAAGATGAGGATGCTCAGGTGGATGAGTGGTTTTACCCTTAGAGATAGGATATGAAATGAGTATATATAAGTGAAAAGGTTAGAGTAGCTCTAGTGGAAGATAAGATTAGAGAGTGTCGCCTTAGATGGTTTGGTCACATAAAATGGTGGCCTTTCGATGATCCGATTAAGAAAGTAAAGGTATTAGATTTGACTTATGTTAAGAAAGGTAGAGATAGACCTAAATACTTGGTTAGAAAATATTAGAAAGGAACTTCTTTATTAGATTTAAATGAGAGTTTGACTTGTAATATGACACGATGGAGAAAAAGGATTCATGTAGCCGACTCCACGTAGTAGGACAAAGGCTTATTGTTGTTGTTGTGTTGGAATAATGGATCACCATATGCGGGAATGATTGGATGGATGATAATCCATCAATCTCACAATTAGGAATTATCGTTGCAGCTATAAATCATAGCATCTAATAATCATGTGAGACTATAGTGTCGTTATAATAATTTTCAAGAGATTTGTCTTTGAATGAATAAAAAATTTCAATAGTTTTCTTAGAATTTGTATACTTTGTTTCATAAGGAGATTAATATTTCAACTATTCAATAATTCAATATACTCAAAAAATTAAAAAAGAGTGACAGATTGGGAAAGCAAAATGTTTTAAAGTGATATCCAACATTAGACTTCTTTGACAAAGGAACTAATCAACAAAAATAAACACAGCTTAACCTCAAAAAAACACACTTACACTATGAGATAGAACTGGAAGTGCATGCTATAATAAGTTTATGAATCTCTATTTCAAATGCATAAGATTAATTCCTTTCTAGAATAGGTGTTAATCTAGGGTTTAAACTATATTCAAAACTTAAAACTAGCTCAATATTCCCTCAAGTTTCAATAAATTAGAAATTTAATTTAATTTGCTCATGTTCAAAAATGTTCGCCTGAAATTAGTTTGATTCAACTTAAGGAAAACATAATACATGCAAGTTTTAATACACACACACACACACACTATATATATATATATATATATATATATATATAATCTAGATTTACATATATGCCACAAAATTCTTATATATTTATATATCTAACATCAAAATCCTTATATTTAATTATATAACTCCCTAGCATCTTAATAACATCATAATATGCAGATTAAAAGGTGTATCCAATAACGTTAACAAAAATATCGTTATAAAAATAATATTTTTGGCTCGAATCAGCAATAAAATTAACTCAAAGAAGATTACTTTTAACATGACTAGAACTTGAAGCCAAAATTAAAATTTTGAATTTTTAGCTAAGGGCATTTGATGGAACTTGACTGAACATGATCTCTTACATTGATCCTATAACTGTATAAGGTACCACACAAAATCCTGCCAACATATCAAAACTGAGACGCTATTGCAAACTAAAATTTCCATATATTTATGTAAGCGTACGGCTACTAACATTTTCAAAAACATAATAAAGATTGACTTATCATTTCAGAAATAGTACATTTTTTTATGCTCAATCTTTATCACAATAAGTTCCTCAAATCCTCGGTCTTCTTGGATATTTATCCCCAATTCTTTGTATACTGCTTCTTTACTATTTAGAGAAAGGCTCTCTACATCCCCTAAAGCTAACACATTTGACAAATGTGTCAAACACCTCATGAACTACAGCCCTTCTATTTACTTAATAAAGAAGTATAGCTCTCCCATATAACATTTTACAGCTTCTGGAACCTAAATTAAGCTACTTGCCCTTGTATGCTAAGGTTTAGTTTTTCATATGGAACTAAATTGCAGTACAGCTTTCAATAAATTGATTGGGAAGCAATAGGACTACCCGTGGAGCTACAGATAACATCATTTCTACCCAGTACTGATGCATAGAAGCAATCGCCAAAGCCATGCGCATCCAAGCAAAAAATCTATTAAGTACAATCGCGCAGTAAATTTCGCTTAAAAGCTCCATAAGCCCAGTTGATCAACCTGCTCACTTTCTTGTCCTATTTTTAGCAACAAAAATATTGTCCGATGAGTATTTCCACACATGAAATGAACACAACACTAAAAGAAGTAACTCTAGAAATGAGAACGGCTCACTAATTTGGCCAGAGTACAAATCCCTTATTTTATTTCACCGATGCATTCAAGCCTTGAAGATCTTCTTTTATTATTATTTTTTTAATTGTGAACATTATGCGAACAAAAATGATGATAATGCAAATTCGTGCGACGAATTTATGTCGATAGTGAGAAAAAATAACTCAAAAAAATATCTTGGGCACCCTCCAACCACATATTTTCTTCCATTGCCGTCCCCGATATTATTCCCATGTGCAAGCGGTACTACTTTCTCTCCCTTAAGAGCACCCTAAGTATTCTCCATCCGTATAATCCACTCGAACGCAATAGTATCTCCTCGACTTAAAAACAAGAATATAAAAAAAAAAAAAAAGAAACCAAAATGGAAAACCCTTGCAAGGAAAATGGAACGATAATGAACTAGACAGAAAGTTCCGCCTTTGCAGAAAAAAATAAGCCTATCCGGTACCCTAAAACAAGTAAAACTTCTAAAAAAAGAAAGCAAACAAAAACCGCCATTGATCTCATCTCAACTAATTCCAAAATCAAAAGGAGAGAGAAAGAGGGATTCCAAGATCAACACTGGCGTGAGATAACAAACCACAAAATCCGATCTGGAGGAGATATATCTCGACGTGAGTACTCGACTTGATGGTGAACATTAACTTTTTTTTGTTATTGCTTCAGGCTTTCAAATCATCCACAGAAACCTTAACTAGGAGGCCGATAAGATATGATATTAATATTATATAGAAAGAGAGAAAGATAGATAGAGAGAGAGAGAGAGAGGGAGGGAGGGAAATAACCTGGAACTGGAGAACTCGTAGAGCTTGCCGCGAGGAGAGAAGACGATAAGGCCAATCTCAGCTTCGCAGAGCACGGACAGCTCAAAAGCCTTCTTAAGCAGCCCATTCCTCCTCTTTGAAAACGTAACCTGCCTACTCGTCGGATTCTCTATCCGCCTCATCTCCGTCCTTCCCCTCACCATGTTTATTCTCTGTAAGGGGATCGGATAAACTGAAGTTAAGGGCAACGGATCCAACAAAGAAACAAAGCACGCGGTGATCATAGGCTAACCAGAAATAGAAACGGCGAAGAACAGCTAATCCCGTCAAGGAACGCCAGGTGGAGCGAATCCAGCTCCAGGTAGCAGATTCCTCTTCCACCTTCTCCTCCTCGACTTCCCCTTATTTCCGGGGCCGCAGCAGCGCGACAAAGACAAAAGAAAAGCCCAAAGATAGGCAAATCTTTTCCGGCTAATGACCCCTCCTCCCATTTTTCATCTTCTCCTGGGCCCTCCTTCAATAATACCTCTCCGGTTTAGGTAAAGTCGCGTAGCAGAGAAACGGAAACAACACGAAATCCGCCTATGGTTTTATCTTCCCACCCTTTTTCTGGTTTTTGCACGCTCTCACATGCGGTGGTGGGCGTGAGAATAAGACAGGGGACCAATGGCAAGCCGCACCGGCGAGGCAGGCTGGCCCACCACGCGGTACGAGGGTTGGGACTAGGTGACGAGGGTTCCGCTTTCGACAGGTACGCGTCCGTACAATCAACCTGCTTGATTTCGACACGTATGCGATCGTCGCAACGGCCCTGGGCAATGGGTCTCATCGGGTCACGTGGCCCATTCCCGAGCCCGCCTGCCCGCCCATTCTCCTCACCGTGCGATGCGGTGCCAATCCCACATTGCGCAATTAACTGCCTTTATTTTTGTCACCTTCACTTCATCAAAATGGGAATATTTTAAATCCGGTCAGAATCATTAATTAATTAGATATAATATAATAATTTTTTTGACTACTTATGTTTAGATTTAATTAAAATACATTAATAAATCATGTTAATTATATTTGAATGAAGATGTCCTCAATTTTCTTCATTAAAAACTTGAACTTTTGAATGACATGCGGAGATATAAATTTTAAATTTTTTGTAGTTCTATACTTTGTGAAAGTCCAGATACTTTTGTAATCAAAGTTTATCAATGAATATACTGGTAGTGACTAGGAGTGTCAATTATTGACCCGAATCAATAACCAAATAAGAATCCGACTTGAAAAACTTCATATTCTGGTTAACCCATTTAACAAACAAGTCGGGTTCAAGTTCCATTTTTTACCTGTTTGAAAAATTGGGTCGAGTCTATGTCAACCCATTAACACGAATTTGACCCAGTTTCACCTGAGTCACCCTTCCGACTTCAGACCTCGCTAGTCACCTAGCTCAAGCAGCTTGCTTGGACCCGAGTAGACCTTGCACTCGCGGCACTCACACCACAAGCCTAATCTTGCAGGCGCGCACACGCAGTCACACCCTCAATCACTCTCTTGCCCTCACACTTGCTTCCTTGCCCCCGCACCGCAGTCGTGCATTCCTCCCTCGCCCTCATTGAGATGCGATCTCAAAATAGCAAAGTGACACTAGCTCATTGGGGAAGGCATCATGGGATGAGCTCATGAAAGACTCTTTGAACCTAGTACAAATTATATTCTAACTTTGCTCAGACTTGATTTGAACAAAATTCATATTCAAACTAGTTTAGACCAAATTTATTCACGACGGACTTCAATAAGTATTCCACATGTAAAAAAAAAAATAGCTTGATGTAAAGTAAACTTTCAGGCATCTGAAATATTTCTTTCTTTTTTTTCTTTAAAATATAAGAAATCTAAATATTAAATTATATATTATGAAAATTTTTCTAGCTGTTAATTTGTATGAATATAAAATAGAAATTATTTTTCTAATTTATCATTAGTATCTATTGTCCCATCTTTTGATTAATTAAAAATACCTAAAATAAATATTCGACCTTTATTGTGATAGAATTTTGTAGCATCCCATTCAACGTGAAGCATTAGACATCATACAAGATTAAATAATTGCAGGCTTGCAGCTATCTACACGGATTGAATAATGACACTTAACCACACGTTATAGTGTGATGCTAACAACGCCAACAAAGCATGACATTTGGGAAAAATAATATAAGAACGGTCCCCACTTCCAAGTAATTAAGGGACTTTGACAAAAGATCAAAGATGGCACTTATATAAGTGAAATTATTACGTGTGCTCATCGGACGTCGTTTAGAGGCGAATCAGGGATGCGTCATGTCACTATTTTGTTGTGTACTAATTTTGTGTATCTAGTTAACGTGGCGCATCTTGATCTGCCTCCAGGCGGTTCGATGACCGCACATAATAATTTCTCCTTACATAGTTAGAGAAGCTGGCTGAGCCAAGGTAGGCGTCCTCACTTGTGTCAAGGCTCTACATTTAGTCATCTTACAATATTCTCCATGCAAGCTTATATAGAACCCATATTCTCATTAAAATTATAGCTGAATAATTAAGAAGTTTAGTTTAAGATCTTTTGATTGGTAAGTGGGTCATACTAATCAGTTAAGCCAAAAATATTTATAAATTGCTTTAATGACTACTCTATGAAACTACCAATTAATGAAGTAAATATTTGGATTGTTCATCATCCACTCTACAACACCACTTACTATTTGAAAAAAATTACTTGCTTTGTAAAATTCATAAAATATTAAAAAAAATTGTACAGGGTGGTCAGTTATTTGCGACAGATTTGCAAACTTTATGGTGGAATGTTGTTTGTCGAAATTGTCAATGAATTTGCAACATAAAATTTTGCCTTAAATTTTAGATGGAATTTACGACATATTTGTGTCAAAAAAAGCCGCCGCAGATTTACAGCGTCAATTTTTGCCACAAAGCCGCAGCAAATAGCTCTCAAATTATGATATCGTCTAATCGTGTACATCTGTTTCATTTGCTTGTCGTTTGACTTCTCTCCTCGGGCCTTTCTTCCTTCTCTTTGCTCTTTGACTTTGCCTCCGTCGTCACTTGCAAGCCTCATCTCTTCTCCGGCTGTTCATTTGCATATAGGGCATTTTGAATGAGTTGTTAAGTTACTTCCTTGCCTCCTTCGATGATGCATTCCTTCTTGTTGCATCTAAAGTCACACCTCCTCACCATTCTTTTGGGTCAAATTTGAGATAGTAGCTGAAGTCACACATCCTCATCATTCTTCTGTCTCATCTGAAGTCACGCCTCCTTCACCCTTTGATGGAACCTGTTCATTATGAAGGTATCTATCTTTCTTCCTTTTGCACGCCTTCTTCGTCCAAATCAAGTAAATTTTTTTCTAATGTATGCTTTTTGCTAATGATATTCTTCTTGTTGATAATACTAAAGAGGGAGTTGAAGGTAAAATTATATTATGGAGGTCAACCTTATAGTCTAAAGGTTTTCATTTGAGTAGATCTAAAACTTAATATATTGTGTAAATTTAGTCATAATACATATAGTTGATGGGTTGTAACTTTGGGCAATCAAATAATTAATAAGAGTACACATTTTAGACATCTTGGATCTATTGCTTTTAGTGATGGTGAAATAGATTGTGATATTATTAGCATATTTTAAGTTGGATGATTGAAGTGGAGGAAAGCACCGGGCTTGTTGTGTGATAAAAAAGACCTCCTCAAGTTTATGGGAAAGTTCTATAAAATGGTGGGTAAGACATGCAATGCTTTATGGTGCAAAATATTGGCCAATAAAAGAGAAGCATAATATTAAGTTAAGTATTGCAAAGATGAAGATGCTTAGGTGGATGAATGGCTTTATTCTTAGAGACAGGATATGAAATGAGCATGTACGTAAAAAGGTTGTAGTAGCTCCAGTGGAGGACATGATTAAAGAGAGTCACCTTAGATATTTTGGTTTCTTATCATTATTGTATGGTTTAATTGGAGGAATACATCAGGCTTATTATGTGATAAAAAAAGTCCCCCTCAAACTCAAGTGAAAATTCTATAAGATGTTGGTGAGACCTGCATTGCTTTAAGGTGTAGCATGTTGGTCATTGAAAGAGAAGCATAATATTAAGTTTTGCGTAGATGAGGATGCTTAGGTGGATGAGTGTATTTACTCTTAGAGTTAGGATAGGAAATGAGCATATACATGAAAAGGCAGTATTAGCTCTAATGGAAGATAAGATTAGATAGAGTCGCCTTAGATAGTTTGGTCACATATAATTATTGTATGGTTGAAGTGGAGGAATGCCTCGAGCTTGTTGTGAGACAGAAATGTCCCCCTCAAACTTAAGAGAAAATTCTATAAGATGGTGGTGAGACATACAATAATGTTTTATGATGCAGAATCTTGGCCATTAAAAGAGAAGCATAATATTAAGTTAGGTGTTGCAAATATGAGTATGCTCAGGTGGATGAGTGACTTTATTCTTAAAGAAAGGATACAAAATGAGCATATACACATGAAAAGGCTAGAGTAGCTACAATGCAAGATAAGATTAGAGAGAGTTTCCTTATATAGTTTGGTCAAATATCATTATTGTATATCTTGATTATATAAGATGTTATCTAAAAAAAAATTATGACAAAAATTATATATAAATAACATTAAATTGATACATATTTTATTATTTGGATGTAGTAATTTATAGCCCAAGTGTGTTATGGATATTCAAAACTATTATAATTATATGTATAACAAGTTGTTGCATAGACGCAAGATATTAACATATGAATTTTTGAATGGAGTAAATTATTTCATTTAGGTAGGCTATCAATTACATTCCTTTATATCAGACAGAATGTTTTATTGTCCATATTTCAAATACAAAAATCAAGTTTACATCCACTAGATAAGATTACAGTTGATCTATATCATAGAAGATTCAACGATAATATGAGTATTGGACTTCACATGGTGAGTATGAGCCTCATCATTTTGACTCTCAGTGCAGCCAATCTATCAATTCCAACATAATTGAGGAAGATAGAATTAGGATGTTTGAGGACTTGGTTTATAATACAACTAGGCCAAAATTTTAGCAATATATAGAAGAGTCCATGCATAAGAATGTGCAAAACTTCTATAATTTATTGCACGCCGCATAAAAACTAATTTTGAATGGGTGCACTACTTAGAGTTATTTGTTATTGTGAATATGTTAAGCATATTGATATAATATAATGTACCTAGAGAACACTTTAATCCATTCATTGGCCTACTTAAGGAGACCAACCTGATAAATAATATAATTCTAACTGATTTATATTGGACTAAAAAATTAATTTTAATTTCAAACTTAATTTGACAAGTATAAAAATATATCTTTGTATTAATGGATGCATATTGTACTATATAGATTTTTTTTTTTTTTTTTGTTAAAACCCACTCATGGGGCCTACGGGTTAATATTCA